TCGATAGGTAGAAGGGTTTCGTAATGCAGGTACTGTTCGACTAGTGCGAGCTTTACACGCAAAGGCGTTGATAACTTGATGAAAATGAGAAAGAGAGAAAGAGTACTAGTACTGTGTAATTTCATAGTATATGTCCAGACATGACGTGGTATAATGTATAATCATTATAAGGTATTATTTCAGGTCTGATGTTTGTACGTGTGCATATATGTATGTACGTTTAAGTACGCGTACGTGCGTTAACACGAATATATATATGTATATAATTTTTTATCGAGAGTAAGAGGAGAGTTCTTCATCACGTTCGGCGTGGACACGCCATATTTTCCAATACAGAAATCTGTGAAAGGAATGAGTTTCGACCGTTGATATATGGCACCACTCAAGGCGCATAAGCGCTCGTAATTCATGATATTATCAGATCTAGATACGTGGCTGTGTAAAATGAGGAGGACAGCGTCGATGTAAGCTTCGGAAAGGTTTGAAAGATATAGGAGACGTGGTATGGTACTAAAACGTAGAACAGAGTAAATGGAAGTTCTTGACAAGGAAAGGAAAAGAGACAATGTTTGAGTATAGGAAAAATTTGTCTACCTACTAGTGTTGAAACTCTTGATATAACCTAAGCGCATTATCCAAGTTTACACAAATGTCTTTATCGTTGCTTCATATTCAGAGAGTTTAATTTATTACTCGAATAAAGAACTGTTTTAATATACACAATATATACGAATTTTGATATAAACTTATTGTTCTAATGCGCGATGTCGAAATTATTTCTTTTTATTATCATTTATAATTTTTCTCTAATACTTTATCTATTTTCAATTGTTACGATAATTGTTGTTAAGATGATATTTAATGAACGTGCATCGTACGAATAAGAACTTTTAATACAAATAACGTTTAATTTATATGATAAACACGAAGTAAATGAAATTGCGAGCTTCGTTAGAGGAATTAAGATATTTTTTTTTTTAACTCTATTTATAATTAGAGCGAATAAATAATTACACGGGACGAATACATGTATTTGGACGTTTGGACGTAAATCGAGGAAAGAATTTAGATTCGACCCTGCCCGTTTCGAAGATGTACCCCTCGAATTTGCGGGCTACAAAAGAACGACCGTGTACGTGCCTTGTATCAGAAACTTCGGACTCAGTTACGTTTTTCTTGCACCCATACGCTCACCGCATCTTTTATCGGGCTTCCTCCTCCACTCTTTCAACCTCTCTTCCTCCTCCTTTATCACTTCGTAACGCTCTAAATCCAAGAGCTAAATTTTCTACAGGAAAAGGTCGAGACTTTGCTTCGTTGCTATTTTCTTAGTTAAAGGTAGTAGAACCGTACGATAAATCGAACATCTCCGAACATTTAGAGGTTGTTGGAATTCTATCGAACAATGTTTCTTCTAATTTCGAGATAATTTTTCTCATTAAAATGAATAAATAAATAAATATATATATATATATATATAACAATATTATTTATTAATTAACGTTTTCGTTTTGTCATTCAATCTTATTTAACATTTGCTTCGTTAAAATGAAAATTCTACAAAAGAAGAAACATTGTCTTTAATATAAAAGGAAGATTGAAAAATTCTTTCCTTTTGAAACCATATAACAAGTGAATACCTAGTTTACAGAATTACCGGTACTACAAGAAGAAACGAGTCTCAGAAAATTTCTATTATATCCAAGAGACACACACGTATCCTGTCAGCGTGAGTTAATGGAATTTCTATAGATAATATTTCGAAAAGAGAAAACCCGACGCGCGAGGAAGTTTCTCTGGAAACGGATATAAAAGTTCTTCTTTGTCTTGCCGTTGTAGATCCGTGGCTTTCCGTAGTCTCTCTGTAGCCGGTAGAACCGATTATCGTTCCGGAAGAGTAGACAAACCCAGGAGAGCCAGGTAAGACGTTATCGAAATTCTTTCGTGTTGCGAATATACTAACGTTGCTTGGATACAGACTTCGATACATCGATAGGAATTCAATGATTTAAGAAACTGGGTTTAGTCCTTGAAGAAACTCATGATCACGTATCTTTTGCCACGATCAAATAAATCATTGAATATTTCAAACCTACCATCCCCTTTTGTGTATGCAAATGTTCCTTCAATTTCTTCGTGGAAAAGAATAAGTGAAAAACACTTTCAAGATACCCTATTTTGATAACATTTTTCGAATTTCAATCTTTTCATTTAATGCTTAATGTTTCGTTTTTTTAGATAATTATATACATATAATTATTCAAATAAAATTAAATTTATAGAAATTTAGAAAAAGAAAAACCTTTTTATTAGACAATTGGTAGACGAGTTAATATAATGATTGCTATATTTCTTTTCGTTGATATTAGTTACGGATATGAGTTCGTGTTTATCTAAAAATATATATTAATTTTCAAAGGGAAAGACCAAAGACCTCTAGGAGGGACTATTACATTGGATTATGTTCTAAGAAGTTTCATTGAAGATAAAGAAAGCATTGAAAAGTCAAAAGGGCGACAAAAGGGCAAAAAAGGGTCGTCTTTGGTGAAAACGTAGTCGTGAATAAACTGAGCCAGTCAGATTTAACGACATCCTTCAAGGGTTTAATGTCTCGTTACGATGAAGTTTCGTTGCTTCTTTTCCATCCTTTTCAGTATATACTGTTTTCAAAAAGGACTCTTAGGTAAAAAGAAAAGTAGACAGGAAATGAAGAAAAAGAGAGATCATTTTCTTAAGAAGCTTACGAGATAATTTATCTCTTCGTTACATATAACATCGTTAGTTAATTAAACCCTTTGATTAGGTGTCTTCTCGACGGCGTTACGCAAGCTTAAACTTTACTTTTTGAAGATTCTTATCGTTGTTTGTGCTAACTTTCATAAGTATTTAATATTGAAAAACTCTGACGCTTAAACAAAGAGAAAGAGAGAGAGAGAAAAAGAGAGACAAAGAGAAGATCTTATAAACATCAAATATAAGTTTTGTAACAAATACTTTACACATTATTATAAATATTAAATTGATTGTGTAATTAAGATGATGAGATTTTCATTAAAACGAATATAAATGAATCTTATAACAGTCTCATATAAAATTAATTTTATAAAAAAAAATTGCACCAGTGACTTTAATAGTTGGATAAAGATTTTGGTTGTTGCTAAAGAATTGGTTGAATGACTATTAAAGGAATATCTTTTCCAATGGTTCGCAATATTCTTTTCGATAGAAATGTAGGACAATTGCGATCGATAACAACGACAGAGTGCGAATAAGCATCGTTTGGCGAATGTGGTCATCCAGTAGTTACAAGCTGGTGTGGTCGAACAGCAGTAATAGAGCTGGCTGTAGTTGGTCAGTAGTAAGAGAGCACCTGTGGTCAGACGGTTAGTATCGGCTTCTGCTATGGTCAGATGCTAGTAACGATTCTACTTGATCGCAACCGTATTCTTTTTATACGCATTTTCCTTTATAACTTGGATATAGTTACCGTACGAATTATTTGTATTAAAGTGTTACGCGATATAACTTGATAAAAATATCATTTAACAAATTTTCCATTTGTTTAATAATTCCTTTTCAAAATATATAATAATTTTGACGATATATACGTTCATTAAATGAATTCTGTTTTATTATAATAAAATTATTCATATATTATAATTGAGAAAGTGATACGTTGATCGACGTTAAATATCTCTTTCTTTTCACAAACGTCAATATCGCGGTCAGATTTGAACAGCAAAGGTGAACTTTATTAATTGAAGTAAGCCATTTAATGCTGAAAATATTAATTCTTTGCGTGCAAAAGCAACGCTCGTACCGAGACTTTGTTTGAGCGCCTATAGGATGGTAGCACTCTGTCAACATTTGACCGACGTTCAAGAGAGATAATATATTCTCTGGTTCAACATACTTCATTTTACGACAGGGAGTAAGGCCGTGGTTCAAAGCACGCGGCTCGAGTGTTTCATGTGAGCAAACACATGGATAATTGTAAGCTTTTCTCGAACTTTACATTAAATATCCTTGAAGTTTGAATACAAGAAAATTCTTAGATATATCTCTTTTTAATATTTCCTTATTTTTATGATATCAAATATACACATTGGAAATAAGATATATATTATTTATGAGAATGAGAAAATAATAGAAAAATTGTAGTCGAATATAAGGGTTGATTCGATTGTGGTGCTTGATTCGGGGCCAACCAAGCGACAGGATACGTTTCTACCTTGACACCTGGAACAGATCCAAACTTAACTCCATAGGTGGGGGACTTCAAACTTATGCCGTCTGCAGACTCCAAAAATGATTTTTCAGCCGCGTCAGCAACTACGGTGTTTGTTTTCATCTTTCCATTCTGGCGTAACAATCTTTGTTCACTGCCTATATTCTTTTTACTATTTCACCTCTTGCACTTTCTTTGCATCTCCTTCCCTCTCTCTCTCTCTCTTCTATATATGTGTACCAACTAGTACGTGTGCGTTCGACATACCTCCGACCTGATTTGCCTTCCAGGGACAAGAGCCAGAAGCGAAGCTGCTTATCACGATGAGCGTTCTATTCAAAGCAAGGGTTGTTTCATGAAACGTTTGCTCTTACACCGAAGTACATGTACACATATGTGTATATGCTAAAGTGTTAGGAGTATAAAGTGATTTGGCAAAGATCAGACGAAACCCGATTATCCAACAAGTATGAAGATTAGATTTTTTAAATGGATTTGGCAGAGATTATGCAATCTTAGTTCTATATTGTGCTAGTAGTATCCATTTATTCTTCTTTTCCCTTCGATTCGTTGTTTTATTCCTAAGGACTTCTTTTTTCTGCAAAATCTGTATTTAAAAATCACAACAGAAACGTTGTTATATTGCTTATCAAATTGTTACATTGAAATCATACTTTTATAATTTCATCAATGTTAAATAAAAAAAAAAAAGTATGAATAATGTAATTCAAGATAAGCGCACGAATGAACTTATTTTAATTTTTCTTTTTAGATTGAACTATCTGATGTCAGGCCTGACGCCGACGTGGTATCACGCAACGAATGTTGCGTTGCACGCTGCGGCATGCGTTTTAGTGACCAGAGTGAGCTTAACTGTGGCGTCACTTCGTCCCGGATTCGCGGCATTGACCGGATTGTTATTTGCCGCACATCCTATTCACACAGAGGCCGTAAGTTGGAATTTAATAACTTAGTTAAACGCATTTTTCTTCTAGGCCGTTCCTTTTTTCCTATTATATATCTAAATAATTTCTAATTATAAAACGTGCTATTTTATTTGCAGATTATTTTTAGGGTATTTTAAATTTAGGAAAATATATTTTATAAAAATATTCTTTATCTTTTTCTTTTTAAAATAAGTACAAACGTAAATGCATCGTTAGCTAGACATATAATATCGAGTAAAAGTATAATAGAATAAACGTAGGTATAGAAAGTTGTATTATATTTTTTATGTTAAACGATAATGTAAGATAATCCAAGGATTTTATATGAAATATTAGCGGTTATCTACGGATATTTAGATACTATTAAGGAATATCGAGTCTGACGAAATGATTTTCATGAGATCAAGGACAACTTGGATTCGAGTAAACGACTAAGGCGAACGATTAGCATCCTACTGGGAGTTCAATAGAAGAGGATGAGGGTTCTTGTTAATAGTTAATAATCCGCCTTAATGGATACTTTGTTTAAAGTGTCTGCTTACGCGCAACGTTGGTATTAAGTGCAAGTAACATCGGATTTTCGTTAAGCCGATCAAAGCGTCAGGAAGACCAATAGGAGAAGCAGTCAGTGAGTATAGCGGTGGAGGGGGCTGGATGAAAGGTAGGAGTGAACAATGAAATTCGACGACGATGATAACGACGTTGGTCTACTTAACCTGCTTCGGTTAAGCGCATAACGCTAGGTTCGTTGTGTTCATTGGCTCTGTCGAGGCTATCTGCTATTTCAGACGATGAGAATTTCGGTCCTGGATGGGAGAGTGAAGTGGGATGACCGGAAAGAGGTTGGCATTGGGGTTGGGGTTCGGGTTCGGGTTGGGGTTTGATAAGGGAACCACGCTACTACCACTAGATCGATGTGACGATGATTACAAAGGATTATGACATATTCGTCTGATATCAAAATCGCCCTGAACGTAGCTTATTCCCTGGTTTGGTGTTTTCATCTCTTATTCTCTCTCACGCGTTTCCTATTCATAGATAATGCTAGAGTGAAATCCTGCTAAGCGATAATATTCCATGATATGCTTGCAAATAGACGTTGATGCAAAATTAAACCGATCTCCTATAAATATAATCACATTATTCTAATTTATCTTTTTTATATTTGTAAATATATTTTCATAATTAATAGCAATGCGTAAGATTTAATGGGACAAATTGTATAGATGATGGTCATGAATTTATTAGATATTGTAGATTTTTTAATATAACATATATAAGTGTATTTATAGTGTACATAAAATGTAATACAATTTTAGATTATTGAATTGTTTGTAGAATATATTTCACTTATTCCTTTATTATATTATATCTTGGTTTATATATAGAACATTTTTCTTGTTTATTTTAATTCGATAAATTTCTTCTGGTAATCTACTTACAATGAATTCGAATAATTGCGTAAAATAAAAATACGCATTTATCTTTGAGCAACGAATTATTAGACCATTCACCGATCTCTATCAAAGAGAATTACCAGTGGCACACAACATCGATTCGCGCGTTCTAACCACTCATTATGAGAGCAGCCAACTTGGCCGGTCACGCACCGCATCCGTTTACATCAGGTGCGTGCATTATCGCTATTGCGTGTACGTCTGTCTTTCGCTGGCCGCGTTCACTCAGTTATCACTGTGTGTGTGTGTCAGATGAAGAAGTCAGATATTATTATTACCCGTAAAATCTGGATAACAATCTGTCGTCTGTTTAAGTCGCCAACGTTACAACTTTTTCTATTTTGCATAATACGAAATAACTCTTAAAACATTCTTTACATTTTTTTCCCCTATATGTTTCTTCAAAATATGGCATAACTTTGTTGAAAATAACTGTTCTGTCGTCTATTATTTTCTCCCTTCCTTTTTATTTTATTTTTTTTTTTCTTCTTATATTAGCAATAATACAGGGTTCGAAAACAATGTATGCAATCGTGAATTAATATTGTTCTTCTATATCCGCAAAAGTATGAATAAAATTTTGTCAAGGAAACACAAGAAAAAAGAAAAAAAGAAAATAACAACCGTCATACGTTAAATCGTATCTAAAGTATTTTCAATGATAGAATTATAATTATAATCAAGATGAAAATGGTAAATTTAATGCGTCACAGTTTACTGACTTGACCTATGGATCGTGCGATTCAAGCAGATAGACATTTACGAATGGCACGGTGTTACTACTCCTCGATCGATTAGCATCGCTCGGTTGGTGTCTGTTAAAATGATCAAACCGTGAAAGCGCAGTCCGCTTCCGGTTGTCGGATTAAGCCTTTGGTCAGGTGCTGAAAGGAAACTCGGTAATTAAGTGCGACGCCGTCGAAGCGCTTGATCCTAATGTAAACGGACACAGACAAAGGAATCGGGCTGATTTGGAATAGGAAAGTGAACTGCTCTATCAAGAGAATAAGAGAGAGGGAGAGTGAGAGAGAGAGAGAGAGAGAGAGAGAAGGAGAAGGAGAAGAAGAAAAAGGGGATGGGAAACGGGAAACCTCTGGGATTTGTTGCTCGACGACGATTCGGATCGGAAAATACTGACGATCGATCGATCAACAATGCTTGAGCTTTTCTTGTTCGTTTTGTAGGGTGAGTTTTCATCCGGTACATAGTCCTTAATTCGTGTTAATGATCTAAAATCAGTCGTGCGTTAGTGATCGATAACAGCACCTTCTTGTACAAACTTTTTTCGTAATTTCTTATTTTCTCTTTTCGTGTGTATCTAAAAAAAAAAAAGGAAAGAAAAAAAAGAGGAAGTTTAATAAGCTGAGAATAATTAATTAAATCGTTAATCGGATCAATAATCTTTTCCGTTGGTAATTTATACATTATTTTTGATTTGTTGTTTCCTTAATTAATACACAAATAGTACGAAAAATTACGAAAAATCGTATTACATATAAAATTGTTAAATTAAGACGATATCATAATGTGGCTGTGTTTTATAGTAGTAATAATTATTGATTTCAATATTTTTTTTTTTTTGGGGGGGGGGGGAATTTTGTTACTCGTGCGATATTAATCCTATCATTTAATTATTTTTAATTGCACGTTAGACGCGAATGTTTTTTTTTCGGTTCGTATGTCTGATTTTAAAATTCCATCATCGTGTGAATCGGAGATGAAGAAAAAGTATTTTGTTTACTGGATAATATCGATTTACACATTGGCATGGTAGGTAGCAAAAGGATCTAAACGTAATCATGATGGTTTCAGATGCAGAAACGACTGTATAGTCGCGTAGCATATAATTGCAAGAAAAGTTATTTTCGCGCAATTAACTTCGAGAGAAATATATGTATATTCGTTAAGGACGAAGGTCGTTTGTCACAAAGGATGCTTTTCCGTTTCGCTGAAGTTGAAGGGTCTGTAATTTGACCCCTTAGTCATTCGTGTTATGTCGGAAGATGGGGCTTCGAAAGTTTCGAAACGACGATAAACACCCCCTATTAAAGGTGCACCGATCGATATGCTTCCTTTAACTCTCTCTCTCTCTCTCTTTCTCTCTTCCCCCACCACCCCTTCCCTGTCTCTTCTTTCTCTCTCTCTCTCTCTTTCTCTGCTTTTCCTTAACTTACCCTTTCCTTCTATTTCTTCATCGTTTTCTTCCCTGTTCATTTAAAGGAACATCGGGTCGCTGCCTTTGAATTAGTTCATTTCCTACTCCACTAACTCCGGTGGTATCGAAAATGGTGATAAACGCCAGCCATTTATATCGAAGAATTTCAAAAGCCTCGAAGAGTTCATCCGTCTACATAATTGAGAGTCGATGGACTTTGAAACCTTTTTCTTGAGATTTTTTCACTTCGTCCTTTTTCTACTTCCATTTTTCTCGCGAAGATCAACCAAGTCATCTAGAATACAGATATTTTATTAAATATTTCTCTATATATTATATATACAGACTAATGTATTTATATATTAGATGTTAAGTTTCAATTTTGAAAAGCCAATAATATTATTAACGTACTTTTAAGTTTATACAGTTCTATCTGATTATTTTTTCTTTCCAGATAATAATTTTCTATATAATATCTTTTCATTTTTATCCGATATTCTTTTAAAGATTTTCATGAAAATACAAACTTAGCTGATAATATTTTACGAGAGTATCGGATCTTTGTTCGATATTCTTTTATTCTTTCTGTCTATCCGCGGCAATATTCGATATTATAAGTAAAACGTAAAATTAAAGTCATTGATTTTTTTTCTCTAAGTAAATGTATACGTAATTATATAATTTGTAATATTTCTGAAAAATATTTGTATTAATGTATTTTGTAAAAAAATAAACGAATAACGTAACGTAATGAATGAAAATAATGCGAAATCACATTAGACGAATTTCAAGAAGATTTATGCGATTTCACCAGACCCCCGTCAGTGCTCACAATTTTATTTCTTCTAATATCATTGAATATACAGGTTGAAGTAAAGCTCAACGGAAGTTACGACAGCCGGTGTTTGAGAGGATGGAAATTCAAAGGTCTGAGTAACAAGTGCGGAAAAGTTAGTGCTTAATTCCGGTAGGTACGATTCTTGCATAATTTTCCAAGTTACACGGGCCGTTAAACCATGTCTTTACTAATGTAAACTGTCTATAGTTTTCGTCTATATAATAGTATGCCGTTACTTTATAGAGACGACAGTGCCGTTAGCACTTCGCGATTAAATACTTAATTTTCCAAGTAAGCAAGTGATAGACGTGTTCTACGGCGTGTATCTCAACACACGAAGAACGTTCTAACGTAAACGTGACGTGTCAGAATGCGATCGTTCGTCGTGTTGCTTTTCGTGTGGCAACGCTATTCAGCCAGAAGTGTCACGAGTAATCGATACTTCGTTTTAACGACTCTTTCATGTTCTGCATTTTTATCGGGAATAAGGGAGGAATATTAAAATCGAAATTGTTGCGTACATTAACGCAAACGTCAAAGATACGTTTAAGTG